TGACCTTAGAACTGAAGAAGCCTCTCGGATGAGAGGTGAAACGTCTTCAAGTAACTTAAAGAAGTCCAGACGCTTTTCTTTGCAAGCTCCTTTGAGTCTGAACAAGAAGTTTCAAATCTTTGCAAACTACCTATTTTTGGCTCAATGCCAAACTCTGGGATTCTAACTGTCTTCTTGAGAATTATTTTGGCTCTTGCGACAGCTTAATGTACACTGCTGAAACACTGGAAGAAGCAACGTCTGGACCTTTAAAAACAATCTACAAAACAGTGCAGTTGTACATTTCTTGAAAAGCTTAGTCAATACATTGTTGTGTGAGGTCTTTCACAAACTCTTCTCTGTCTCTTCTATAACTTAGTCATTCTATATTTCAGTGTACAAAGGTGCCTATTCTTAGAGCAAATGTGTCCCTGCAAAAGTGCAACAACATTAAGCTTTCGTATTTTGCATATTTATTTTTGATTGATTCATCTGTACCTTATCACGTTTCATAATAAAAATAGCACCTTCTCAGAAACTGTTGTAAGTTGCAGGTCAAGTCATGGTTACCCACAGAAAGATGCCAATTTACTGCAGAAAGCAGGCTTACTAACACTCAAAGAACCAGCTGGAAGCTGAATACCAGTGGCTGTAAACAGATAAAATTTCTACAAATCTTCTAGACCTTCTACAAAAATATGTTCAATGATTGTATAGAAAAATATGTAGTAGTCTATGTGATGAAACCTGCATTTTTAAAAATAACCATATATCTATTTAGTTTAAAGTCTTACGAAATATGGTACGATCAATTGTATTAAATTTCAATTTAGATTAATATAGATGATAGATTAGTGTGTGAATTAGGGTTTTGCTGAGTTATGAATGATAAATAAGTGTCTTCCCTTTCATAGTCAGAGCCCCTCAAGCTCAGTTTCCAAAAACTCAACATTAAACAGTCAACAGAAGGAAAACAATGCAGTATTATAAAAAAAAAGGATACACAATGTAAAGATACAGTACATGATATAAAGTTCTTAACCACAGCTGTTCATGTTTATCATTGCACAGATCATTTTTCTATTAAAGTTTTAAAACACGAAGAGGTGAACCTATAGATGTTTTATAAGTCTTTGTCCAATTCCAAACTAGCTAGCCTATGTAGTAAGCTAGCTAGCCAGCCACTAGCAGCTAACTGAATAGCTCGCTTATCATAAACTGAATTTCTAACCACCTCGTGTTGCCTAGTTATGTACTTGTGGGTAGCTAAACTGTAGGTTGTTAACTAGTTAGCTATCTACAGCTGATAAACAGCAGATCTTATTTCAAATAAATGTTGATAGCAGAAAAAAATAAGAAGCCTGATTAACCCCAGTCTGAAATCAAAGACTTGTCAAAAATAATTAAGACTTTTTAAAAGGAAATGTCTCACTTTTTTACTGTATAATCGATATTTGCAAAAGGACATTAACAAAAACAACAACCACACAAAGAACTATGTCAAAAAAATATGAGTATGATGCAAAAATTTAACTGAATATTTCTGCAAGCCTGCCCTTCAGCATAGAAACAGAAACTTTTTCTAAGGGTTCTGCAAACCCACAGGTT